CCCGACAATACAACTAGCATGAAGTCTACGCGTGACGCGGCACGGGAAGACACGCGTGTGCAAGAGAAGGCGATTGTCATTTGGAACGCGCACATGATGGCAGAAGCGATGGAGAAAAAAACACCTGGCATATGCGCATCGTACCCTTGAGTGTCTGACCTACTGCCCTGCCACTGTCGAAAATATTGCCCTTGCCATCTGCATTTATGTTCCGCCTCCTGGCCGCAACCGCTGCTGTTTTGCACGACAGTTGCTAGCATCACTTCGCGGCACGAGTGTTCCACCATATGAGAGCTTGCATGTGAATGTTATGTCATGCGGCCCCTACTCAGATTCAGGAGATCGTTGCTGACTCAAACGAAATGCGGCCGACGCAAGCGATTTGACATAAGAAGCTGGTGGGTATCCTGTATCGTCACCTCCCTGATCGCACTTGCGGGACCCTCAAAGCTCAAACGATGCGCTTAGCTAGATGCATGTTGGTACAATTTGCACCACCATCGGCTGCTGCTGTTTACTCCACGGGTGATGCACGACGACATAGGGAGATTGCGAAACCGTGCGGGGAGGTGAGACCGATAAACGGAGGCAAAGAGAGAGAGAGAGAGAGAGAGACAGACAGACAGACAGACAGACAGACAGGCAGGCAGGCAGGCAGGCAGACAGACAGGCAGACAGGCAGGCAGGCAGACAGGCAGATAAACAGGCGGCCAAAGAGAGAGAGAGAGAGAATGAGAGAGAGATGGAGAAAGAGCGAGAGAGAGAGAGAGAGCGCAACAACAGAGAAGGACGGGTGGGAGGAGGAGAATGACGATGTTAATGACGACCAGGAAAATGCACCGAAACGTGTACCATCGAAGCTCTTCCAACATTGTCGCTGTAAGCATCATTGCGCTCTCTCCTGCAGGACATGTGGTGAGATAGCCTCCCAGAGAACTTAGCTAGATGTCCCCACTCGTTATCATATGTGTTGAGCTGCCCTGATCTAGAATCTAGCGCCCCCTGCAAGAGACGGGAGGCGGGGCGAGCCAGATATTCTAGAAACCGGCAGATCGAACACAATCGATCAAAAACTACACGCTGGACGAATCCGATACTTGAATCACGTCCCCGGAGCCACATCACAGTTGCCAGCACGTGGTGTGATTAATTAAGCAGGTACCAACAATCATACACTTGCTTATTCTCAGAGTCAGCGGAACTGCCGAACACGAAACAAGCCCTCAAATTCCAAACGTGCAACTAACACATATGCATGTACAAAGAATGGGTATGTGTGTGCTCCGTTTGTTTGGTGTCGAGCATGTTGTTTTGAACTTGCACACAACATCCAAATACGCCTCTCGGGCATTGTACAGGGGCGCCGCAACCAATGTGTGTCAAGCGGTCGGTGTTGAGGCTTGCTGGAGCCTTGGATGCAAGGGAGTGCCATCCTAAACGCTGGAGACAGAGAGCTCGGCGGCAGTGGACAGAGGAGGAGGAGGAGATTAACGAGGAGGAGGATGAGCAGGAGAAGGAGGACACCCACACTCCGCGAGGGACTGGCGATCGTGCGTGGCCTGCGGTTCGAACACCCTGTGGAGACCAGAAGCTGGGCTGCGCCCTGGAAGAATTGAAGATAACGCGCGACGTGAGGCGCGCAAGCAATCGCGATAGCTCCATAAAATCGCGCGCTTCGCATTACAGTCGGGGCGTTGACCTAAGGAACCCTAAATGAGGAACGAGGCCCCTTTTTTCCATCAGTTAAACTCCGAACTCCCATCGAAAACCTAAGGAAAACCCAAGGCAAACTGCGAAACGATTCAGGAACACGGCTCCCCTCCCCAACGCAGAGGGTTCCTTCCTCAGCGCCCCGATTGTAGTCCAGGCGCGTTCACAAAGTTGTATTACACGATGCTTCCGAATGGCACTATGCAGTTGGTGTGAGGCGGCGGCCGCGACAAACAAGCAAGCAAAGCGTGCTCCGAACTGAGATGCGAGAAACGGAACATCTGGGATTCGGGAAGGAGGTGGAAAACCGAAGGGGGGGTCCGATCCGCGATCTGCGAAACCCCGCATTGCCATACATCCGAACACACAGTATCGGTTCGATTGCCTGGGTTCACGTTTGCCTGCCGTTGCGCCAATGCCATCGCGCATGTCTGCTCGTAGGCGGCCGTGCCACCTACGTATCGCCCGAAACTTCGTCTTGCCAGTAAGTAATCTGTGTACGCCTGTATCAGCATGTCTGCTCGTGCGCAATCCACCCCCAACTGACCCCACCAGGGAGACTGCCTCCGGAAGCATGTAGGACAACTACATATGCAAACATATGATAGTGCAGCTTGTCCCGACCCTGCTGTTTTGTTGGGTCCTCGGTTTGAACAGCAGCGCCGCGCGTCACCTTTCTCGTTATGTTCACCCTCATGTTCCCCATCCACCTCCTCCTCCTCCTTCTCGGCATCCGTCGCCTTCGCCTAATCATTCGTATCCTCCTGCTCCTCCTCCGCCCCCCCCCCTAATCCTCATCATCTACATCCTCCTCACCATCATCAGCAGCATCATCGTCATCATCATCACCACCATCATCATCAACATCATCATCATCATCATCATCATCATCAGCATCATCATCATCATCATCATCATCCTTGTTACCATCATCATCATCAGCAGCATCATCAGCATCACCACAACTACCGCCACCACCAACACCATCATCACCGACATCATCATCAACACTGCCAGCATCCCCAGCATCCGCATCATCATCATCATCATCAGCAGCAGCAGCATCAGCATCATCATCATCATCTCCATCATCATCATCATCATCATCATCATATCATCAGCATCAGCATCATCACCATCACCATCATCATCATAAGCATCATCATCATCAGCAGCAGCAGCATCATAATCAGCATTAACAGCATCATCGGGATCCTCAGCATCATCATCATCAGCATCATCATCAATATCATCGTCAGCAGCAGCATCCTCAGTAGCAGCAGCAGAAACAGAAGCGCCCGAATCAGAATAAGCACTAGCATCAGTACCACTCATCACCAGCTGCATCATCATCAGCATCATCAGCATACGCAGCAGCATAAGCATCATCGGCAGCAGCAGAAGGATTAGCAACATCAGACACAGACGCGTCCGAATCAACATCACCATTAGAATCCGCATCATCAGCAGCTGCAGCATCACCATCATGATCATCAGCATCATCATCATCAGCAGCATAAGCATCGTCAACATTATCCTCGTCATGATCATCATCATCATCATCATCATCAGCAGCAGCATCCTCATCATGAGCAGCAGCATCATCGGCACCATCATCAGCCAACAACATCGCCATCGTCATCCGCAGCGGCAAGAGCATCATCATCAGCATCGACATCCTCAACGTCAGCAGCATCATCAGCATCATCATCATTCCCATCAACATGAACAGCACCACCATCATAATCGTCATCAACATCATCATCATCCTCATCCTCATCTGTACCCTTCTCATCATTATCGTCATCACCCGCACCATTAGCAGCCTCAGACTCATCATCAGAATAGTCATCGTCAGCATCAGCAGCATCATCATCAGCAGTATCAGCATCAGCATCATCATCAACGGCGGCGGCGGCGTCAGCAGAAGCAGCCGCAACTGCAGCGGCCGCAGCCGCAGCAGCAGCAGCAGGAGCACATATCGGCGCACCGCTCACGCGGCTCGCGATCCAAAGTGAGCTTCACCTGCGGCCCCATGGTCAACGTTCGCATAGCCCCCACCCCACCCCCCGCCCACTTCGGTACACTCCGCACACGTCTCCTGCCCTACAAGGAGCGCCACACATGACAGTACGGGCAAAGTCGCGTAGCCTTCCCCGCCCATTTCGACACACCTCATCGCGCGTTTCGTGTCCCTCAGGGAGCGTCATCTACGACCACAGGGTCAGCATTCGTATATCGCCCCCCCACGCCATTTCTGCACATACGCGTTTCGTGTCCCACGGAGAGACCCACCTACGGCCACAGCGTCAACTTCCGCATAACGTCCCCCCGCTCACACGTGTCGTGCCCCGCAGGGGGGGGGGGGGGGGGGCAACTACCGACCCAAGGAAAAAAGTTCACACCGTGTCTCTCCGCCATTTCAGTACACTCCTCACATGTCTCGTGCCCGACAGGGGGCTCCATCTATGGCCAGAAGGACGACATTCGCACACACACACACACACAAACACACACACACACACACACACACACACGCACACACACACACACACACCAGCCCGTTCAGGCACACCTATTACAAAATTCGTGCTCCACACGGAGCTGCACGTTCGCAAAACGTTCCCCCCCATCAGTTCGGCACTCTCCTCACACGTTTCGTGCCCAACAGAGGGCTCAATTTACGGCCCCAGGGTCGACGTTCGCATATTGTCTGCCCGTTTCGGCTAACCCCTCACAAGGTTCGTGCTCCGCAAGGAGCTCCACCTACAGCCGAGGGACGTCCGCATCCCGTCCCTCCGCCCTGTCCAGCGCACCCCTCAGGCGGTTTCAACAGGGAGCTCCACCTGCGGCCTCAGGGACCACATTTGCATGGCGTTTCCCCGCTCAGTTCGGTAGTGCTCCACAGGGACCTCCTCCTCCTCCTCCTTCTCCTCCTTCTCCTTCTCCTCCACCTACGGCCTCAGTGGGCAACTTCACATGCCGTACCCCTTCCTATTTCAGCGCAGCCCTCATGCGGATCGCGCCCCACAAGGAGCTTCACTGACGGCCACCGCGTGCGCGTTCGCGTGGGGGGCTCCACCCAATGCGGCACCCCTCCTACGTGGGTCGTGCCCCGCAGGGAGTTCAACGCGCCTCTGCGCGTTCGCTTCGTAGCCCCCTATCCGCACTGCGGCGCGCAGTATAAGAAAGGGGTGCGCCCTGCGCTGCACGCTGCTGTACAGGGTCGAGGCCTTTCTCCAGGTGTGCCCGAATATTCACACGATTGTCATACACCCCCCCCCCTTCGCCCCACCAAGGACGCCAGCGAAGTGCCGCCCACTTCCCAATCATCGACGGACTCTTTCAGGCGCGACACCTGCCGTGGCTCTGGCACTGCAATCACTCACTAGGCGGTGCATCGGGGCTGCCGGCCGTCAATGCTACTGCATGGTGATCCTACGTGCGCCCCACTGAGTACTTCCTCTGCATATGATGTGTAGAGATAATCAATTACACGATCTCCACTGCGTGATCGCTGCAGGCGTCACCACAGCCCAACATATGCTGCAAGTTTGGCCCAGGATCTTCAAGGCGCCGCTGCACCGTTGCGCACACGCACACACACACACTGACTGCTGTGTGCAAGCAGCCTGGCTGGGAAGGACACAAACTCGGACATGCGGCAACTCAACACTCACTTAGCGCCGCACAGATCTGGGAAGAGCCAATTAGGTAAGCCCCGTTCCCCGACGGAAGTGGAATTGCCCTTTGTCTGGTGCATGGAAATATCGTTACCGCCCTGTTTCTGACTGGATTCAGTTTCTTCTAGCGAAAACGATTGATTCCAGGACAGCGTGCTAGATAGAGAGTCTCGACCTGAGAAACCCCACACTCCTCATCTCCTTATGAACAAGATCGATACCATAACCGATGCCATAGCAACAAATGGTGGCATAACCTTAAGATCATCACCGCCACCACCATGATCGCGATCACCAAGAGCCCAGACAATTGTCGTTGGCATCTCCTTTCGCCTTCCATGCCTCCCATGCGGGTTCATCCTCACCGCAACCCTACATTTCATCAACAGCTCCTACGCACCATGACCGCCATCGCCATCCTCATCATTGTCGCCACCATCGGCATCGCCATCGCCGACGTCTTCCGCAAGGCATGAACATCACATGCGTCACGAATCGTCACCATGGCCACCATCGTCACCAACATAATCCGCCGACCCCTCGTGAGCCCCCAGGCATGTAAGACTGTTCCCCCCCAAACCCCCCCAGGGACCCCAACGGGACGAACGCACCACAGGAGGGATTAGAGGGCCCCAAAACGGGCGAAGAGGGCCCCGACCAAGGAGGCCCCAAAAACTGTCGAAGAGTGCCGAAGATGTCCTCCAGTCGGCACAAGATGCCCCCGAGACGCCCCAAGACGCCTCCAAGAAGGCGCCCGAGAGGACCCCTAGAAGCAACATTTATGTATATCCATAAGGGCCTCTAGAGGGCCCCCAAGGTCGCCCCAAGACGGCCCATCAGGTCTCCAAGGGGCCCCCAAAACGGCCCAAGAGGGCCCCGAGACGACCCAAGAGGCCTCCCAGACGGTCCAAGACGCCCCCAAGACGGCTCCAAGAGGGGGCCCAGACGGGGGGACCCGAGCGGACATTTGGAGCCATCGGCCTCGATAGGCACCCAGGAGGCGCCGAGAGGCCCCCAGGAGGCCCCCAAAGACGGCCCAAGAGATGCCCAAGAGGCGTTCAAGACGGCCCAAGAGGCCTCCGAGAGGTCCTCCAGGAGGGCCCGAAGAGGCTAAAATCATTGATGTTCCAGAAAGGTTTTTCGTATGTGCTCCTTTTCGGCGTTCCGGCGACCCCAGACGGCCCAAGAGGCCCCAGGATCGCTCCAACAGCGCCCAAGAGGCCTCCAAGATGGCCTCAGGACTGCCCAAGAGGCCCCCACGACGCCCCCAAGAGGACACAACGACGACCCAAGAGGCCTCCAAGACTGCCCTGGAGTACCCCAAGAGGGCCCCAAGTCGGCCTAGAGAGACCCCCCAAACGGCTTCCGACGGCGTCAGACGGGCCAGGGGCCCACCAAGATGGCCGAAGTTGGCTCGAAGCTGGCCCAAGACGGCCCAAGAGGCTTCCAAGAGGGCCTCCAGGAAGGCCAGAAAAGGCCCCAAACACTGCTTGTCCTGAGGTTGTTATATAACAGATTTTGATATGTGCTTCTTTTCTGCCTTCCGACGGCCCGAGACGGCCCAAGAGCTCCCAAAGATCACCCAAAGATCGGCCAAGAGGCCTCCAAGATGGCCCCAGAACGATCCAAGAGACCCTCAAGACGGCCCCAAGAGGCCCCCGAGACGGCCCAGGAGTCCTGTAAGACGCCCAAGATGGCCTTCAAAGCGGCCCTGGAGCATTCCAAGACGGCTCCAAGTCGGCCCAGAGAGGCCCCCCAAACGGCATCCGACGGCGTCGGACGGACCAGGAGCCCACCAAAACGGCCGAACATGGTCCTAAGATGGCCCAAGACGGCCCAAGAGGCTTCCAAGAGGGCCTCCAGGAAGGCCCGAAAAGGAAAATCATGGATTTATCATGAGTTTTTGAAGGATTGCGGCATTTGCTTTTGGTTCGGCCTTCCGACGGCGCGAGACGGCCCAAGTGCCCCCAAAGATCTCCCAAGAGGCCCAAGACGGCCCCAAGAGGCCCCCAAGACGGCCCAAGAGGCCTCCAAGACGCTCAAGATGGCCTCCAAGACGGCCCAAGAGCCCTCCAAGACGTCCTCCAAGAAGGCCAGAAAGGGTCAAAATGGCCTCCAGACAGCCAAGATGACCTTGAAGATGCCCACGTGTTCCCCGAAGGCTTTCCAAAACGATTCGGGGAGCACATGGTCCGATAGCTTGGCAGGTCTGGCCTCAACGTTCGGCCGCATAGGCGCTTCCAAAAAGGCAGGGGGCGGCGGTGATTCGCCGTAGGCGTCTTCGATCCGCCGCTCCCTGTTGGCTTGCCATAGGGTTGCCCGGCGTGCTGAATCCCACCCTCTTGGTTTTGGTTCTTTTTCCAAAAGGGCTCTCCCTGGGGCTTCGGCCCGTCCCGCCGACCCTGTGGAAGGCCCGGAAACGACCTCAACATCCCGAACAAATCCTCCAAGACGGCCCAAGATGGCCTCCGAGACGGTCAAGATGGCCCCAGATGGCCTCCAAGATGCCTCCGAGACGGCCAAGATGGCCTCCAAAACTGCTAAGATAGCCCCAAGATGCGTCCCAGACTGCCCGGCCTAAGATAGCCTCAGGATGACCCAAGACGCCCCACGAGGCCCCCAAAAGGCCTCCGAGACGGCCGCGGAGGCCTCCAAGAGGTCCTACAGGAAGGCTCGAAGAGGCCAAAATCATTGATTTTCCGTTGGCCTTTGACTGATTTTGTCATTTGCGCCTTTTTGGTCTTCAGACAGCCTAAAACGGCCCAATAGGCCCCCCAGGTCGCCCTTAGATCGCCCAAGAGGCCTCCAAGATGGCCCCATGACGGCCCACGAGGCCCCGAAGGCGGCCCCAAAAGGGCCCCAAGAAAGCCTAAGAGGCCTCCAAGATGGCCCCAGGACGGCCAAAGAAGCCCCCAAGACGGCCCAGAGGACGGCCCAAGAAGGCCCAAGAGGCCTCCATGACAACCAAGATGGCCTCCAAGACGGCCCTGAAGCACCACTGGAACGCCCCAAGACGGCCTAGAGAGGCCCCAAAGACGGCTCCCGACGGCGTCAGACGGCCCAAGAACGCCCGAAGACGGTCAAAAAGGCCCCGAACAAGGCCCCAAAGGTCCCCAAGAGGCCGAAGGAGACCGCCAAGAGGCCTCCAAGAGGCTACCAGGAAGCTCCCAGGAGACCCCAAGAGGCTCCCAAGAGGTCTACTCCTCCTTCTCCTCCTCCTCCTCCTCCTCCTCCTCTTCCTCCTCCTATTATCCTTGCCTTCTTCTACTCATTATCCTCTTTCTCACGTGTTCCCCGAAGGGCTTCAAAGACGGCTGGGGGAACTCATGGTCCGATAACTTGGCCATGCTCTAGCCGAACTTTCGGCCATACAGGCGCTTCCAAAAAGGCCAGGGGCAGCGGTGATTCGCCGTAGGCGTCTTCCATAAGGCCCCCGGCACAATTAAAGGGATCGGCGGATGGTGCGCAATCCTGTAGAATCATCCTCGTCACCAGCATAAGCATCATCAGCATCATCAGCATCATCATCATCATCATCATCATCATCATCATCATCATCCTCATCCTCATCCTCATCCTCATCCTCATCCTCATCCTCATCCTCATCCTCCTCATCATCATCGGCATCAGCATCGTCATCATCATCATCATCATCATCATCATCATCATCCTCATCCTCAGTGGCATAATCATTCTCATCAGCATCACCATCAGCATCAGCATCACCATAATCATCATCAGCAGCATCAGCATCACCAACGTCAGCAACAGCAGCGGCATCATCGTCACCATCACCAGCATCATAATCAGCATCATCATCAGCATCATGATCATCATCAGCAGCAGCATCACCATCAGCATCAGCATCAGCATCAGCATCATATCATCAGCGTCAGCTTTATCTTTATCATAATTACCACCACCAGCATCATCAGTATCAGCAGCATCGTCACCACCATCATCATCATCAGCATCATCAGCAGCAGCATCACCATGATCATCATCAGCAGCAGCGGCATCATGACCATCATCGACAGCATCATCATCGTCGTCATCGCCACCGCCGTCCTCGCCAGCATCAACATCGCCACCTTCATCACCACCGTCACCATCGCCGTGCTCGTCCATCTTCCCGCCGTCCCAGCTTCTTGCCGCGCAGCTCCCCGCCACCCTCCCCCGTCAGGAGCCCCTCCGGAACCCATTCGGCGTGAGAGCCCACTCGGCTACCGAATGGGCAGCCGAACGGCACAACAAACCCTCCATCTTCTCCTGCTCCGCATCCCTCGTCCCCGCCTCTCCATCCGACAACCTCCGAGCACGTCAAAAAGTTACGACTGCACAGCCGCACCGCGGAGGGGGGGGGGCAACACAACAACTGTACAACCTGCCCCCTCCTTCCTTGCCCCTCCCCGGGCTTCTCCAATCCTCCTCCTCCTCCTCCTCCTCCTCCTCCTCCTCGCCACCGCCCATCATCACCACGACGACCACAGTCATCATCACCAGCACCACCATCACCATGAATATCATCGCCACCACCACCACCACAACGCCCGACCCTTCAATGCGATCCACTTTTTCCTGCGCAACCTGAACTGACATCTCCCCCA